GATGCCACCTCCTGACTGAGGAATGTGTATTCTATTGTGAAAAAATTCAAATCCGATTGTTTTTCTTCGTTTGGACAAAATGTCCTGCTATTAGTGTCTGTGAAGACGTGTTGCTGCTGCTTCATATGTTTTTATATTCGGTCCAGAGCCGTGAACATATGATTGAGGCCAGGCGCTAAGACCGGTTTCTTCAAATCCGAGTCCAAGGGCAGCTGAAATCTTTTCTTTTAAATTCAATCAGCGGAGAAGATTTCAGAAGCTTGGCTCAGATTTGCAAACAGGGCTGGTCGAAATTAAACTGGATGTATCGATAAGATGAATCATATACTTTTATTTTGTCAAGATCCTGCTTTTCTACCATATTCTTCAGCTTGAGGGGGTTTATGGGGGAAGAAAATAAGTAGTTTTAGTAAATCAATGTGCAGAAGTAGCTTTTATTTTGATTGTAAATACCCTTTTCCTCGTAGCTCACCTCAGCTGGATCGTTGTTCCATGACAAAATGGTTCTTAAATGTTCTAAATGTGTAGAATGTAAAGAGAGAAACTGTGGTTTCGTAGGAATTTGTGCCATCATCATGTTGTGTTGAGAAGAGCACTGATATTAGATCTGTAGGCCAGGGTTTTTGGAGATGATTGGCCAGACAGCCCTTAAAAAAAATGTAACAAACTGAAGACATTTTCCAACAAGAGAAACTGTTTGATAAAAACTCACATTATTGTACAGCACCACGTGGCATGTAGCTGCTAACTGCATCGCTCTTGTATTTTTTTGGTTGGTTCTTTCTGCATTATATGCCACTCAATGCACTGTAGGCCTTTTTTTGGACCACATAAAGCATTCACATTTTTACATGTGTTGAGTACGCTAACTACGTAACCCTGACGAAAATCAAGGATTCATTGTAATAATTTTTGAAAAGCTCTGCGTCTTCTGTCTACACAGATGCACTACAATTTTTTTATTTTCACTTTGGGTTGTGCGTTTTTGGCAAAATAATTTAATCACAATTGATTGTAGTATTTCGTCAATAACAGGTAATATGCCAAGTGCGCCTGCATATTTTTGACTCTAAATCTTTTACCCTGTGTTCTAAAGTTATATTTACAAATCATCAGTCAAACTAACTTCTTCATTTTTACAGCCACGGCCCACATCATCTCCCTCCAGCGCTTACTTTGCTTWTAATGCTGAGCTAAYGCTAATGTAGAGCTAAAATGCTAACACTCCGAACTTGTTTAGTCACCTCAAACATCGCCATAAAACGAAGTACAAGGAAAGGCAGAAAATACAACATCAGCTACAACAAACATTTTGCCAGCAAATGTGGGGGACTCGAGTTACATGACATGGACTCGTCATTAATATTGTGACTTTAGACTTGACTTGTACTTTTACACCAGGGACTTGGAACTTGAATTGGACTTGACCCTGTGTACTTCAAAATACTTGATATTTTACCCAACTTCTAAAGCTTAATACACATTATTTATAAATTGGAAATTGGGCCCCATTAATCAATTCCTCTCGTTACATTTTACCAAAGTCAGACCGTCTGTATTATTTTCCCACACTCACAGCACAGCAAATCAAAAAATAAAAAAGGGAAATTATAGTTTTAAGGTAGAGTATTTTTGCAGCTAGGTTTTTTTGAACTTTGCAACATAGAGGTGCGATTTTAAAATGATTTTTAAAATACTTTTTAAATGATTTTTAAAAAAGACTCAAAAGGACTTGAAATTTTAAGTTTCAGACTTGGAAATTGATTGGCAGTTGCTTGTCTTGACTTGAGACTTGAAAAACAGTGACTTGGTCCCACCTCCGGTGGACAGTCAATCTGTCCCTTAAGAGCATTAGCTTTAGCTCATAACCACAATGAATAAATAAGCCCCTAATTAAGGTAAAATGCAAAGTGCCCAATATTATTCAGTGACTATTATTCTGACAACTGCACACAATATGATTTTACCCAATTCTAATGTCAGTGAAGCCTTTGAAAAGGTTTCAAAATCAGCCCGATCTGGTCAGTCAATGAATCAATCAATCTGTCGAATCAATCGGTACAAAATATTATAGCCAATGTGATGTCCTTGGTTTTGGCTAAGCTGAACAGAGCTAAACCTAGCTAATTGTCATCAAAAATATATTTGCTAATCGTCAAGGCACCTTTAAAACACAAATTTTAGCTTCCCCTCCTGTTGCTTTAAGGTCAAAATGAGGCATTGTGAGTCATTTTGACCCGAGGGCAGCAGCAGGCAGGTTAAACAGGATTGAGCTGTCTGGCTGCCATCTCCTGACTGCAGAAGAAACTGTGGCTTTGGTTTATTTAAAAAAAAAATGTTCAAACCACTCCTGCATCATCAGAGCAGCATTCAGGAACATTCTCATTGTTTTCTGCTTTTTGTTGAGGAAGGTGGGCTTCTCCTAATTTACACCAAATATTTTTGACCAATCACGTCACAGATGGGAGAAGGGACACGTTGTCTCTCCAGTTTTAGTCTGTGTTTTCTGTCTGAGTGTTCAGGAAGAGTTGAATGATATTTTTTTGGTGGCTCTAGGAGGCCAGCATTAGGAAATGTGTTATTTTTGTTACAATACCTCCTGAAAATAAAAGTCTATTTATCTGTGAAAAGACAAAGATTTACAGTATTACAGATGACTACATAAAAAAATGAAACATTTTAAACAAATACAAGTGAAAACATGTACAGTTCATCTGAGCACAATACAGAAATGTATTGTCAGTATTAACTTTGATTTTATATATGTCATTTTATTACGTTTTAATGTGACTGCAATGGAAAAAAAAAACCTAAAGATTATAATAAAAAAAACTTTTTTCCAAAAGTCTCTTCTTTTTTTAAAGCAACATCTCATGAGGTTTCATAAATGACAACACAAACACTGATTTAAAAAAAGAACTTTATTCAAGGTTTTCAAGCATTTTCATTAAAGCACAGAAATCTTGTCAAACATTAAATTGCACAGAACAGAAAATTTTAATGGCTTCTTAAAACAGTAACCTGGGTCAAACAGTGCAAAAAAGCAGGGTGGCAGTGCCATATGTATAGTATAGTATAGTATAGTATAGTATAG